ATTTTGATTCTCAGAGTTCTTCCTACCACACCCCACACCTGAAGTTTGCAGTATGCTGGGTCCAGTTCAGGAAGGATGGGAGATGGAGAGGGTTCCCCAAACTGAAGACTGGAGGCTGGGGGTGGGGAGGTCCTGGGAGTAAAATGGGCTTGTTCTCCAGCACTGGGCCAGGGCTGCTCTCATGCCTGGGGAAAGCCAGGCCCTTTGAAGACAAGAATGGTTACTCCCTGCCACGGCTGCTCCATGCAAAACCTGGCCCAGCAGTTTCTGCCAGGCCCAGGAACACCCAGCCTCCAGGTTGCAGGCTGGTGCAGTGGAGGGATGTGTTTGGGAGTGACTGGTTCCCTTGGGCTGGATTTGAGGGGATGCACCATCTTGCCCAGGAGGCAGCAAGGGTAAGAGCAAGAGAGGGGGCTGGGGGCGGGGGTGGGGGGCATCGGGTATGTGGCTTCCCTTCCAGCCTGCAGTGTTGTCATGTGTATAGAGAGGGGCGTTGGCATCCGAAGGGATTACTGAAGTCCCTTCTGAGGCTTTGGGGTGTTGGATCTTACGATTCAGGAAAAATGCCTGAGCATCCAACAGACATGTGCTCTTGTGTAGGGAGCACCAGGGGAGTGTGGTCTGGTCGGGCCCTTGGCCACAGGTGACAGAGGAGGACTGAGGCCCTCTGTGGCCACACCAACAGGAAGTCACCAAGGGACATGCTGCTCGAAGGAAGAGGGAGAAGGTACAACAGGGGTGAGGCCGGTGAGAGATTCCTATGTGAGCAGGCAGCAGGAGGGGACTGGTCCACTGTGCCCTCAGACCCCTGGACCTGTACTGTCGCCCTGCGGCCCTCCCCACCCTGCCATCTGGGCACTGGCATTAGATGTCCCGTGTTGTCTGCAGGAGGCAGCTGTGGCCTGTTTTCCGGAAGACTTAACTGGGGAGAGTGGGCAGAGCTGGAGGGAGGAGTGGCCTCCGAAGTTAAGACTGAGCCCCTTTCTCAAGGGGCCGGCTGTAGCCAGATCTGATTCTTCCAGGACACGCTCCTGTCTTGTTCTTTCCCGCTCCTCCTCCTTCCCCGTTCTTCTCTTCTCCCTCAGGCATCCTTCTCTCCATTTCAGAAAATCTCTGGTGTCCTGTCTGAGGCTAGGGTAGCTGGAGCCTGTAGCTTGTGGGGTCTCTCTGTCTCACACACATGCCTACATGCACAGAGGGGCCTGCACACAGTGGTCTTCCTGGAGGGTGAGTGGGGATCAAGGCCAGGCCTCTCCTGATACCAGGGAGCCTGACTCCTGCTTAGGAGCCCTCCCGGAAGAGCCGCTGAGTCCTTCTTGCAGTGGGAGGTGGAAGTTTTGATGGACGTCCTCTTTGCCACTCGGCAAAGCACCATTGCCCACTGGTCCCCACCCCCAGCATGGTCCTGGGGCATAGGAGAGAGAGCAGTGTCCTGGGACTCAGGAGGCAGCCTCCCTCGGGCCCTCAGTCTCCTCATTTCGAGTGGGAGGTTGATCTGATGGAGTTCAGAAACAGAAGGGATCTAAGAGGCCCCTTGGTCGAGGGCCCACTCTTTGTAGGAATCCCTGCCCCCATTGTCCTAGGGGGTGCCACGTGGCTGGAGTCCCTCCAGAAGTCATGGCGCTTTCCTTCCCAAGGGCCCCTTGCTTCACTGAAAAATCATAGCTTTTAGAAGTTCTACTCGCTTATCCTCCATTCCAGAATTACTAAGTTTTCTCTCTGGGTCAGTGTCCCACCTGGGTCCATTCGCATCCCTCTCAGTGCCACCAAACAATATGGTTCAGTTTTGACTATCCTTGGAGGCAACCAGTCCCATCAGTGGGTGCTCTGTCTTGGGGACTCTGGCTGCCCAGCACCAGGCCAAACACTGCACATGGTTTATCTGAGAGAAGCTTCACCGCCGTCTTGCTGGGGTTCGCTTGCTGATCCCCATTTACATGGAGGAGGTGAGGCGCGTGAGCTCCTCAGTGGCAGAGCTGACCAAGCCCCAGTGGGCTGTCTGCCTCCAGCCCTCTCAAGCTCTGTGCCTTCCTGGAAGCAATACCTGCTCTTAGTCACGTTGTTTGTGAAATGGGGATAACTCCACCTGCCTGCTGGATTATCGTAAGCTCTAAGCAAGATTGTACATGGAAAGCACTTAATTTTTAGTTGATGGCATCCCGTTCTGGCTTGATAAGTGGTGGCCCGTCACTGTCATATTGGGCATTGTCCCTTACAATTCCTTCCCTGCCTTGTGTCTCCACAAAGACACAACCTCTCCGGGCCTCTGCCCTCTCTTCTCTGGAGGAAGGGGTTGTACCTGCTGCTAGCAAGGGGTGCTTTGGCTGGAGGAGGCCAAAGGTGGCAACGCTGACCAGCTGGCAGCAGCCCCCCCCCGCCCCCGCCCCGAGCCCTAGCCTCCTTGCTGTCCTGCCGTTCCCCCAGGCCTGTCTCCCACTGTGGTAATTAAGCCCACGGCATCTAGTGTCAGCAAATAATAACACGGGCATTATCTTTCTTTAGTCTGTGTTTTTCCTGGCCTATCATAAAGTAATTAAAATAATGAATGCCTTGTAAAACAATAGTTAAGAGGGCTGGCAAAAGGGCATTCTCTGCAGTATACCTCTTGTGCTCTGAATTATTGATGCACTGAAACCACTGGGACTTGGGGGGGACTCCCTGCCTCCTGGCCCCTTCCAGGCGGCTTCTCTCCTCCAAGGTCTGCCAGTCTGCCAGGTGGCTGTGGAGCCTGAGCCTCCTGGGCTGAGGAGCAGCCTGTGGCCGTGGACCAGCTCTGACAGGTTGCTGGGGTGGGGTGTGGTGGACATTGCTTGGAAGGAGACACAGAGCCTCTGATTTAGAGGGTTATGCCCTGCCCCCACCTCTCCCTTGTCCACCCCCAACCCTGGGTTCTGAAAGAAACAGGGGGTGTTCTGTCCCAGGTGAAGAGAGAGGCTTGGAAAGAGCTGGGGGTTCAGGTCCGTGTCCCATTTTAGATCAGGCAGGGATGATTAAGCCATGCCAACATGATTAGGAATGGTGGTTCTCAAAGTGGGGTTCCCGGGCTGGTAGCATCGGTAGGTTCCGACACGGGGCCCAGCACTGTGTTTTAACGAGGCCTCTGAGTGGTTCTGATGCCCACTCGAACTTGAGAATCACTGCTTTCTAGTGCCGGTGGCTCAAGGAGAGGCGGGACGTGGTAGGACTAATGAACTGAAAGTGTGTTGTGTGCCTTTGGGCCCTGGTTAATCCCTCCAACATCTATGCGGCAGGCCATATTGTCCCCATCTTAGGGGGTGCGGGGTCCCAGTGGTCCCATGCGGCAGGAGAGCTGAATCTACACCAGCAGAATCTCCACGTGGTCAAGACTCGGGGTCCTAACAGGCCACTGAGACTGGCCTTAGGTGGCTTGGGTGGCAGAGTCCACAGGTGTGAGTAGGTGGCCCTGAGCGTGCCCACCCTGGGGCTCCCCACAGGCCTCCTCTCACATTGTTCTAGTTTCCCGGGGACCTCACACACCGGGAGAGACGGCATGAGCCCCCAGTGCTGCTGAGGCGCCTTCTGGCTTCTCGACTTCCCTCGAGCCCATGGAGGCCGGAAGGGGAGAACCGTGCGTCAGGAGTAGCTTGTGGCCTGCTTGCAAGTCCCCAAGAGGATGACTCATCCCGTGCATCTCAGCTCTCCTTTCCTCACTCTGCCTTACCCCCACTCACTGCAGACCAAGCTTTTCACGTCTGCCTTGGTTTCTCTCCCTTGCTCCAACTCACACTGTGTTTGCTTTGAAATTTGATTCTAAGCTTTTAAATTGAAGGGTGAACGTAATTGGCCCAGCATCTTTTTCTTCATCGGTACCTGCAAACATAATCTCAGTGGATATTTGAGTAGGGGGCCCAGTTAAATATATGTGTTATAGAATATATTTTTAGTATAGCTATGTGTCATGTAAAAAATTTGTATCTGAAACTCAGTTTTCTCTGGATGTCCTGTATTTTGTTTGTCATTCGTAGGCCCAGGAAGGGGCTGATACTCAGTGAGTATCACAAGGCAGACTGTGAATGAAAAATAAAACAGAAAGGTGGTGCTATTGGAAGGCGAGTTGGAGTTTTCAAAGGGTAGCCTGAGAAGATTTCATTGACAAAAGACTTGAGGGAGGTGAGGGAGTAAGTTTTGACCCTCTCTGGGAGAAGTAGGCAGAGGACACATTGCATATAAAAGCATGTGATTTAGGGCCCCACGTGGGGCTCATTTATCTGAGGAAGTCAACCTTGTTTAGTCAAGCATGTTTTTAGCCACAATTTATTCTCTTTTGTAATTAAAAAGGTCTGGTGTAGATTTCAGGCACAGCTGGATTCAGATGTTCAAATGATGACATCCGTATTCTGTCACTTATAGCTTCCTCTGTGGTGGCTTCATTCTCAGGGAAGGATTACTTTTCCTACTCTTTCTAGCAAAAGTCCCAGGCTTGAAGTGTATTGGGTTGGCATGGGTCATATAACCATCACTGGTCCAGCTGCTCTTGCTTAAGGGATGGGATCGTCTAATTAATCAGTCTCTATTCCTAGAGCCATTGTGGGCCTTCAGTTCTTTTTGAACTACACAGATCGAGATGAGGAGTTGGGGATTTTCTTAAGAAAGATCGAGCACTCCTATGAGCTGGATAGGAAGGCTGGGTGGGTGGAGACCACAGCATGCCATCCTCACCTCCTTCATAGTTATTCCCGACCCTAGACGAGATGATTTCTGTCCTGAGCTTCGTGATTTTTTTTTCCCTTTAAAGTGGAAGGAGATCAATTTCATTCTATCTTTCACAAAGATATTTTAAGAGAAAATAAAGAAAAGATTCTTTAAGAAAAAGATTTAAAAGAAAACCAAGCCATCATGCATTCCATCTCCCTGCCCCTTGTACCTTCAAGCCAGTTCCCACATCAGCCAGGACCCTTCCAACTTTGATTCTTTTGGGTAGGTTGTGTTTAATAAACTCAGTTGTTTCCTATTCTCAACCCTGTTCTCTCTGTTGCCAGGAGGCCCAGAAGATTAACAATGGCTCAAGCCAGGCGGATGGCACTCTCAAGCCAGTGGACGAAAAAGAGGAGGCAGTGGCAGCTGAGGTCGGCTGGATGACCTCTGTGAAGGACTGGGCAGGGGTGATGATATCTGCCCAGACACTGACTGGCAGAGTCCTGGTGAGTCCCCAACTCCCTCCCCCTTGGGGAGGCCTGCTGTCTGGTCCATGATGCCTTTGCTTAGAGGGACGCCATGTTTCCTGGGGCTTCTTCAGGCCTCGACTGTTGGGAAGTGGGGGGTGAACAGTGGGTTGTGGAGTAGAGGCCGGGTTCTCTGTATACATAAGCCAGTGGTTTGAGGGGGGATTTGCGTCTGGGGCAATGAGGGTCTGTTGGGAGGATGGAGAGCATTTCCTCTGCCAGCAGGGTAGGTGTATGCAGGCACGCACACACAAGGGTGCACGCATCCACAAGCAGGCACATAGACGCACACGTACACAGCTTGATAGTCTTGGAGAGGAGAAGGGAGTTGAAGCAATATGTGCTCAAAATTCTGCAGAGAGCCCATAAAGGATAAATGCCAGGATCCAGAGAGTTCTCTGTACGTGCCCATCGGCTCTCTTGGGTCTGCTCTCGGACAGGGGTTCTCCTGAGAAGGATGCTCTATTCCAAATGACTTCTTGCTACAATTCAGGAAGCTGCCCTTGCTGGGCCTGAAACTGGGGCTTGGTCAAGACTCATTTGGCTCAAAGGATGAATGGGAATGTTCTGACGGTTGGGTGAATCAAAGATGGGGCAGGAACACTGAAAACCTTGATGCTTCCTGGCAGAAGCTCAGTGAAGAGGGGATGAAAGATGTAGGGAGGAGGTGAAAGTTGACCCCTCAGGATCCTTCTTGGGGAGAACTCTGTGTTACGTTCGGAATGAATATCTCACAAACTGCTTGAGGGAGGGGATAAGACACTGAATATCATGCTTGTGTCACAAAGGTGGTAGCCAGACAGCCTTCAAGGAGGTCAAGGTTCTGTTAATGGAGGGAGCTTTCGGGAGCCGAGCCTTCTGGAGAGTCTGGATGTGAAGCTGTGGCTGTTGTTCGTTGATGGAAACATAGAAAGGGAAGAGATTTAAAGCTGGGGCTTGGGAGAGGAGGAGAGAGGAACCGGTGAGGCCAGTTACTGCCTGGAGCAAGACAACCCAGGTTGGTAGGACCAGGAAAGACGGGGAAGTACGGAGCATCTAATGAGGAAGTGAAGGTGGCTTGCCGCGGGCTGTGCCGCCATACCCCATCCTCCCCTTCCTGCAGAGTCTCCGGTAAAGGCTCCATTGCTCTTCTGTGCTTGTGCAGGAGTGGATTCTATGTAGGAAGCTTGTGGAGGTGGAATTCCAGGTCTGGGCATTCATGTGGGAAAAAACGCAGGCAGTGCGTTCTCTACCTGAGGTAGTGATTGTGGACGAGGCTCAGCAGACACTTTGGTTGCCCAGATGCGATGCCTGTCCCTTCCACGTGGCCACTGTGGCACTCTAGACAGCCCTAATTATCGTCATCAGCATCAGCCAAGAGTTACTGAGGATGACTTGGCCAGGCGTTTTTTCCAGCCCTATGGAAAACAATATGATCTAATTCCATTGCACCATGGACGGAAATTACTGAAGGAACGTCTGGAGGAGAAACACGATGAGTACAAGCCTCGTGTGGGTGTGTGTAGGGGGCGCTGAGCGTGGGGACATAGGAACCATAAAGAAAGCCTTTGTGGCACCTCACAGGGAGGAGATCCTTTGAGCTAAAACTTCCGTTTCAAGATGAACTGAGCCCATGCTTCATGACAGAGAAGACATCAAAGATAAAAGCTTGGAAACAAGAAAGGGACCACTTAGTGGGCCAGAAGCTGAGAAGAATACCTAAATAATAAACAATAAGGCAGAAAGCATTGGAGTTTGAACTGTGAGCTAACATCATGAATGTCTGTTGAGGAGAGGGGATCATCCCAGAGGGAGGAGAGGGGATCATCCCAGAGGTGGCAGAGAAAGGACATGGCATGGAGGGAGCGAGGACCAGGCTGTGAACACAGAGGCACCCGAGGGGACAGAGACCTGGGAAGGTGGGCTGGAGATAGCTTGTCATGTCTTCAAATGCCCAGCTAAGGAATTTGGACTGAATTTTGTAGGGAAAGGAGATTTTGAGGGAGGGGCATCACGATGGAAGGTTGTGCAGAGAGAAATACTAGTGGACAGGTGGAGGGCGGATTGGGGAGGCGGGAGCTTGAGGTGTGAGGGTCAGTCAGGACTGTGAGGTCTGGTGCTGGGGACAGGCCACGGCAGCAAGTCCTGAACGAGCACCGTGTGGTACAGGCAGGTGGGAAGAGGTGTTTTGGGAGCAGAACTCACAGACCAAGTACCCCAGTAGCCATCTTGATACTCCTGCTCACAGTAACATTCTCGAGAGCCTCTTGTGAGCCAGGCACTGTGCAAGGCCCTACACATTATGATCATGGCAAAGCACATGTTGTATTTGTTCCGTATTCCCGATTTTGCTGTTGGGCTGTAGGGATTCATTACAAGGAAGCAAGAGAGCCAGTCTTGTCAATGAATTCATCTCCATCTCACAGTCAAGGAACCCAAGGGTTGGGAAGGGCAACGCCTCGCTGAAGGCTATGCAGCCTGAAGTGACCCAGCCAGGCCTGAGCCTGCAAGCCTCCGGACTCCCTGTCTAGTGCTCTTTCCATGTCGTTACTTCCCAGTTGAAGACAATGCCTCTTCTTTTTCTAAGCCACTGGCAGCTGTCACTTTGGCTGTGACATTTTGCCATTACTGTCTGAGCCAGTTAGGTCCTGAGGTGGTTTAGCCTGATTCTTTTAACATTTGCATGGAGGAGCGCGGTGATGCCAGCTGCTCTCTGAAGGTCTCCTTGGAGAAAATTCTGCCCAGGCCGCTCTGGCTCTCTCAGAGCAGAGCAGGTCCCGCTGCACGGAGAGTAGACGTCTGGGAGTTCCAGGCCGTACCTCCAGAACAGGCCTCTCCTTCAGGAGAAGGCGGGGCTTTGCTCTGAGGAGGGAGCAGATTTCACGTGGAAGTCTCAGCGCGCACCAGAACGCGGCGCTGCCTGTGCAGAACCCAAATTTGTGTTTGTCTTGAACTGTCCAAATGTTTATCCTTGCAACAATGGGACGGAAGCAAGACTAGACATCCAGCTGTTCGGAGTTTCCCTTTTCAATTTTTATTTTATTTTTTGACACATGGCTCAGGAGCTTGGCCTCCACACCTGGGCCCCTTTCTTACCTGTCTGGTTGTCACAGATGAGAGTCTCAGAGCTAGGCATTGTGGGTAAGGCCCAGGTTGGGAAAGATTCCCCAAGACAACCCCAGCACATCTGTAGACGCACCTGCTATCTGGGCTCTCTCAGACGAGCACATGGTTCGTGCAGCTAAGTACTTATTTCTTACCTGCCCCTGGCACTATTCTAGGCCCTGGGCGTAAAGCCATGAGCAGGAGAGATGCAGGGCGTGAACTATTTATATTGATAGACTAGATTTAAAGTTGTAGGGCTCCGTGTGCAAAAGGATAAATGATAGTTACCATTCAGCAGCGCTTTTCCTAGTTCCCACCTGGAGCTTCGGCTTCGGGTCTCGGAATAGCCTGCCTTGTCTCTCGCTGTGGCACTCAGGCTTAGTTAGCTTCAGGAGAAGAACCAGACCGGACCGAGTCTCCTCTTGGAGTGCATGGCTAAGGGGTTCTGCGTCGAAGTGAGCACCAGGCTGACAAGCGTTGCGGCTTCCTTCCTTTATTTATTTTTTTAAATGAAAGATATTTATTATTTTCTGATTATGAGAGGGGGCGCATGCTTATGTCAAAATTTGGGAATATACTGGAAGAATTGGTGTAAAGCCCACTTTGGGACGTGGAGTTGGCCACAGGACTGCTCGGCGTAACAGTAAATGCTGTGGAGATGCTTCCCAGCCGTTGGGGTGTTGCTGGGGCCTTTGTTCACCACAACTGCTGTTCCTTTTATGCACAGTCTCAGGAGATAGGTAGTTCTTCGTGCCAGGGATTGCTGTGGTCTTCCTGGTGGACCTTCAGGGAACACTTCAAATTGGGAAAGGGATCATGGCCCTCTCCTTGTAAGGGCTGCTGCGAGCCAAGTTCATGGCCCACGGAAAGCACACAACACCTCAAGATTTGCATTCCCTAAATTCACAACCCCTCACTACATCTATGCGTCCTTTGGCTCATTTTCCCTTTGTCCTGATTGTCTTACCCTCCTCCTCACACTTTACATGTCTGTGGTTATACGCTGCATTACTGGTTGGTGAGCTAATTACATTTTTCTAAGATTAAGGTGGTATATATAAATAAAGAGGGCAAGAAACAGAGTAGGCTTTTGTATTGCTTGGTTGTACGTTACAGAATCATAAGCCAAAGTCAGTAGTAGAGTTAGTCTAGTTCAGGGTTGGGAAGGTATTCTGCAAGGGGTCAGATAGTAAAGGTTTTAGGTTTTGCAGATCTAGGGACCCTGTCACAACTACTCAGCTCCACCATTGTCATTTGAAAGCAGCTGTGGACAATACACAGATGTGACTGTGCTCCCGGAAAACTTGCCAAAAACAAGTGGTGGGCCAGACTGTTGTTCGTGGCCATAGGTTGCTGACCCATGGTCTGTTTACTTGCTTACTTAGTAAGTATATCAAAAGGCAGAAAGAACTTCCTTAAGAAGGAATCTTGTAAGGTAATATATCACAAGAGTTATAGTACCAGAGAACCCATTTATAATGAGGAAAGTTACAGACACACAGAAACACAGACGGCTAAATGTTGGCACACATACACACTCACCCCATCTCTGTTAAGCATTTTATTTCCGAACATTCTTATTTATTAATCCCTACATTGATCTCTGAGTGGCTGTCTCTCTAAGAAAACACTATGTCCCGTGGCCACGCATGGCCTCACCTCAAGGTGCAAGCTGGGTCTACATGTCTACATTGCTTGGGCCATACTACAAGCCCTTTATACATTCAGTAATTTGTGCTTCTCTTCAAAGATTGGTTTTTGTCTATATAATGATCGGCTCCTTGAGCAAAGATAGAACTCCCAGAATGGTTCCTTTTGGTTATTTTCCTCCATATTCCCATGCCACTACATTTGAATATTGTTCCAGGAGGCATCTAGATCTAATCCATGGACTG